CAGCTCTGAAAATTGACTCTAGGGTTTATGGGCAGCACTGTTCATACTCTGCTTGTAAGATGAGGTATCTTCTACTTATCACTTTACAAAACCATTATGTTGTTACAAGGCTTTATACTGAAAAACTTGATAAATAGTAAAACGTAAATATAATCTCATTTGAAAAGTGAGAGGATAGTTGCTGCCTGTCTTATAGCCAGATTTAGCAGATGCGGGTTTGAATGTAAAACAGTTGTGAAAATAGCCAGTGTCAAACTAGTGCAAAATTAAACTTGTGGGGTGTTCTGTTTTCAGTGTCTGTCATTGTTGAAATACTCCATTTCAAAAGCATGCATTCCTTTCTACAGAAAAAAAAAAATCAGATTCCTTAGTTGAAATTAATTAGCATTCAGAAACCAGATAGCATGTTTTTGGGTATTCATGAGATCTCTGTTTGAAAAAATGTTTTTAACTTGTAGAAATGTGTTGCAACACACAGATGGGAAGAAAAAGAAAAAAAAATCTCTTTAGCAAGCACTGTGTGTAAAAGGAATATTACATTTTGCACGCTCCTGATTACCCTGTGTAAACAGTTTTTGACATCTGTCTTTATAGTTTTCGAGGAGAGGAAGACTTTGTTAAAAGAACCATTTTTATACAGCAGTCACCATTTCAGTCTTGCTTTACCTGTATTATGAAAGCAGATGGTCTGCATGTCTTTTGAATATTTATAACTATCAAAAACAATCTCTTGCTATTCACCCTTAGGCTTATGAGATGTCAGGACTGTTCTGGTTGAAAAAAAATCATCTTGGGTGTTTACAGAAAGGGGATTACATTAAGCTGAAATGACTATACATTTTCCAGTTTAATATTTGTCCATCAGCTGTTTAATCGTATTTAGATAATTGTGTAAATAAGTTGTTGCAGCCCTTGCCCCTTCCACTGAGCAGGCTTGAAGCTTTAAACACCAATGAATGAGTTGCTAAAAAGCTCAGATTTTTTTTTTCCTAGTTAAACAACCTGGAAGGCCTAAATAAGTTTTGGTTACAGTGCTTCTTTTGAGAAAAATGTTTAAATTGCAAAGGGATCCCTGATACCTGATTCAGCCGTGTTGTTCTAGGAAGCTGCTGTGTCTGTTACTCTCTCCTAAGTCTGTTAGCATGTATTTGCTCTGTGTAAATACTGCAGCCCAAGTACCCCTTCATGAGGCATGAAAACAACCTTATTCTGCCCATATAAAAATAATTTTAAGGTTATTTAGTGGAAGTTTTGGGACTGTGGGGGTTAAAAGCTTTTTTGACTGGAAGCTGAGCAATCACTGATAACAGATTTTGCTGTGGTTGGTTGATTTGGCAGAAAAGCATGAACAGTTTTGGTTTAGATGATTGAATTAACCTGATTAACATTGTTTTTGTTGTTTTGCAAAAAGGACAACAGTATACTTTTAGTGACGATCGAGCAACACTTCACCTGGTTGAAGAGCAGTGTTAGAGGCAATGACTCAGAAATGCCTCCCTTGAAGCACCTGCAGCAGTGGCTGCAGCAAGGAGCCGGCATGAAAGGCTCGGGTCCTTCCTGTATCTTGCAGGATGCACCTTGCGTTAGATTCTGGCACAAAACAAAAGGTGTCTGATGCTACCATTTTATTGGGTTTCGTTTGATGGGCATATGAAACGATTCCTGCTTGAGATTTATGATATTTCCCCAGGGAGTTCCCCAACTTCTTTGAGAAAAAGATGGTGTCTGGTATTTAATCTCTGGTATTTAATCTTCCAGAGAAAATGGGATTTGGTTCAATCTACGCTGGGTGAACCTCAGCTGAACCTCAGAACAAATTCTACCCCTACCTTCACACAGTTGTTGGATGCCTAATTATAATTAACTTATTTGGCTAAAAAAAGAGCACTTGGGCTGCAGCAGATGGTATCATTCCAGAATAGTGGGATTTCTGTGAAGGTGGCACCATTTCAGATGAGATCTCCCGATTCTCAGAACATGACTGCAAGTGATGTGGTTGGGGGGAGGGAGATATGGGAGAGGGAAAAGAGGGAAATTTGAGATCTTGAAGGCTCACAACTTACTTTTGTGGATAAACTACAAGGAGATAAGATTGTGTGTGCGTGACCGGTTTTTGCATTCTCTCAATTTTCTTTCCAACATATGAAAAAGAAATCTGATTATGAATGATGCATGTGATGCATTTGAATATTCGTATGATATATTTATACTCGTCATCCTTGTATGGGGAGGGCATCTGCCTCTGTGCCTCACAGATAAGGAGGATATGTGCAGTAGTACCAGGATATGATGTGCTTCAAATACAATAATTTTGATTTTGATTATTGATAATTCGAGACATGGGGAACTCCTCATTGGTAATGACCCAGGTAATATGAAAAGCATCAATATGCCTTCAGTCTAGATAGTGAATCTCTGAAGACCACTAGCTCATGGGGTTAATCTTAAGTTTTAGGCCATAAGCATACCAGAGAGTTATATATTTAGATTGGTATTAAAATGTACAAGAATTCTATAGCAACAGGAAATTTCTATAGCCAAGTGCATCTCTCTGCACTGATGTGACTGCACGTTTAATGACAATAAATAAAGAATAGAAACAATGAAATTCAGTGTTGTCAAGATATTTTCTGAGTTAACAAGGTAATAATATTTTATCTGGCTTGTAAAATTTTGCCTTCAGTGAATTAGTAAATAAATCATTGATTCCTCCTGATGAGGATTCTTAGCGTAGGTAATATCACTTGAATGTTTGCATGAAGTGTTCTCAAAGAAAATGCAGGATAATTTTCATTTTTAAATGTGTTTATAATGTCTGTCTTTTTTTTTTTTTTAATCCACTTTGAAGAGCAGGAGTGCCATCACAGTGTTAGCCATCAAAACTTGAAATTCACATTGTGTCAGAGAAACTAAAACTCCCAGCAGTGTTCCTTAAACAGACCAGTCCCCTATTTGGTTGTAAAGTAACTGCATTAAATTTATTCCTGAAGAAGCAGGGGATGTGTTGCAAACTGCCATATCATTTGTGTATTGTTTTTGTAAAATTACATGGGAGGGAGCACTAGGAAATCTTAGACAAACATCTTCTATAATAGGTAATTTACTAAAATTAATATACATATTTTCATACTTTAAGTTATTTGGGCAGGAGAACAAATCTGAAAGGGGCAAAGTAAAATAAGAGAAACCCACCTTGAAGTGTAAATGACATCTGCAAAATACACATGAGCTGGTGTGGGATGATGGCCTCTGACAGGTGCAGTTCCCCATTTTGCACATAGAGATCTGCAGTTTCTGCAGTAGTCTGCGCAGTCATATAATTTGCCAGCTCAGATCCACAGGACTTTTAGAATCACACCTTATTTATCATGTGCCCATGTTTAAGATGGTTCAATCTATAAAAGAGCTTAGAAGATAATTTTTTACATATTAAACCTTAAGTATACTGCTCTTATACTGGAAACTGCAATTGGGATCAGCTGAGCTTGGTTCTGGTCCTTCAGGCTAGACTATTAAAATTTCACTCTTCTTTTATACCATTGACAAGAGACTTCTAGCTAGTTTCAGAAATAACAGATTAGTATGAAGAAATGGCAAGAATTTTGGTGATTCGGAGAAACATTAAAATATGTGCCTGGTGAGTAGGGGATATCCACATTTGGCATAAATAATGCTGCCTTACTCTAGCAGTTCTGAGCCTCCACAAACAGCTTGCTACTGAGCAGTGCCTTAGAAAATGGTTATAATGAACTTCACTGAGATCAGTAAGGAAGGTACTTTTAGTCAGAAATTGAATTAGGCTTTTAAAAGAAGAACTTAAAGTTAACATTTTATGCATTTCTACTCCAGGCTCTTCCTTCCAGTGGCTATTGTAGTTGGTGTAACAAAGGGTTGATGCTCTAAATGATTCTTCAGACAGCACAAATATGTCTAAATGTTACATGCTAAGTAGTGAAAAAATGTAATAATCAAGGCTTTGTCTTCTTGACTGTCATTGCTGTTTTGATACGCTGGACAATTCTTGTAGTTAAGCCAAAAGTAACTACTTTCCACGCAGAAATTTAAAGGGTGGCAAAGTTCAGTCTGTTGAAAGTATATTTGCTAATTTTGTTGTTCATACATCATATACTGAGTATAATTTTCAAGTTGGAACATTATCTCATTTTGCAAGGCTTAGTCTTAACTGATTTGTAAAAGAATGTACTGGAACTGAAAGTTTTATGCATTATAAATTCCACTATTTTAAAATTGGTCAAAACTGAGCAGAAGGTAAATTTCTCACTGTAGCTATCTGATATCTCGAGAACCTTTGAGAAAAAATCATCTTGATCTTCCTTTGGTCTATTTTACAGCTAATACTCAGTTACAGAATTAGACATGACAATAAGATTTTCATAAGCCTGTTTTTGCAAATCCCTTAAAATACCCTGTTTTAGGAAAAACAAGGGTTCATCTTGGGTTGTTAGATACATATTTTATTCTACTATAAATCCCATATTTTATTGTATTCATAGGTCATTCAGATAAAGTTTTATCCTGTGATGTTTTTGGTGTCGACTCTGTGATAAGTGGCACAGAGGAACTGGACATGGGTAACTTGGGTCACTGCTTGCATTTGTAAAGGCAATGTAGGAATTGTATGTCTGTGTGGGTGTGTGAAGGGTCAATCAAATTTAAAAGCAGAAATAGGATGAACAAAATTCACTTTCAAGATTAGCATCTTGTGTCTAGAGCCCATCCAATTGCATGATGTTTCTTGGTCGATAACTTTGTTCTTTCCTTAGTACATCTGCTATTTTTGCTCCCATTTACAATATACCTTGGTTAGTTTTCATGCTCAATTAATGAGTTTTTTAAGAGGCTTTGGATGATAGGATTTTAAATGCAACATGGTTCTCAAACTTTAAAAATATATTGGCTCAACAATTGAAATAATTTGTGCTTTGACTTGTACTGCTCTGTATTACAGATTTTTTTTTTCTTCTCCCCTTTTCACACAGAGTATGATTTCTTCCATTGTGAACAGCACTTACTATGCAAATGTCTCAGCAGCAAAATGTCAGGAATTTGGAAGGTGGTATAAACATTTCAAGAAGGCAAAAGATATGATGGGTAAGCAAAAAAAAAAATTGCCTTGATGGTGGTTACATACCATTATGTGTCACATTGAGGTCTGTCACAGTCATATAAGAAGCCAGTTCCCTTCACGATAAGTTTAGGATGCTTTTGATGAGTAGATGTAGAAAGTACATATATAGTGAAAGAATTCATTTAAATAAATATTTGCTATTGAAACAGCCAAGCTGACTTGGGTTGCCAGAGATGTAAAGCTGTCATTCTGTGTATCTAGAGATCTTCTACCACCCAGAATAATTGTTTAGAAAACCTGTTCCTGGAACTGTGACGAACTGATTTTTTAATGTATGTATTTTTTTTCTCGTGCTGGCTAATGTATATTTAAAGAAACAGGCTTCTACAGTTATCACTACCTTCCAGCAAGAATGCTGTAATTTTATAAATTCATATCTTTCTCTAACCTTGGGACCCTAATTTCAATTAATTTTAACAAATAGTGGTTGTGACAATTGTTTGCTTGTTGCAAGCACAAGTAAATTATTGGAAAAAAAAATCTGTCAATTCTGTGATACCTTTTATTTTTCTTAAACCTGTTCACATAATTCTGAACAATATGTCAGAAAATTTCTACATAGATTTCAACAGAATGGAGAAATAGGACCTCAATTTGGATTGAATTTTGAGCTTGACTTAGCTTTCAGTATTTGAGGCAAAATCATTCATCTACCCAAACGGGTTCCTTGCCTTTTATAGCTTAAGGCTGTAATGAAGACAATGCATCACTTTTGTGATAATTGCTTGAATTACTGTTCCGAGTGAATGGCCCACTTGGGTTGATCTCTACTTTCCCTAAGTGAAAAAAGGCAGCTTCTTTCCTTAATCTGCTTTGTACCTCCTGTGCAACATGGAACCCTTCTTCTGAGACCACCAAATTTAGTGGGAAGACTTCACTTGGTTTCAGGTGGTCCATGTGTGTGGCAGCAGAGGGGCCATATGGGCAGAATGACCTTTCCACAGCAGCCTCTCCCACATCCTTTGCAGCAGTGCTCATGTGTGGGGCAACCCCTGCAAAATTTTATTTATACGCTCTGCCAAGACAGATTCATCTTCCATTCACTTGGAGTCAGTGAAGCCAGCGAATAGAAAACGTGTGTTTGTGTATTCTTGTGTAAAATGATACTGGCAGAAGAGGCAGCAGCATTGCCCCCAAAGCCAGCTGTGTGAGGGGTAGCAGATCCCCTGCTTGGGTATTGATCCCGGCTATGGACACCAGAAATCTCTGCAGAACAACTGGCTTGCTTTTTATTTATCAAATTTCTGCCTGCAACAAGACAGGGGAGGAAGAGGGGGATGCAGGTGGGAATCCAAGTGCCGATTTCTTCATCCAGATCTGATACTTGTGGAGGAAGGGGTGGCCTTGCACTGATGACTGTTAGTGAAGATCATAACTACTGTGACAAGCTCAGACACTGCCTTGAAAAAAAAAAAAAGTCTTACTAGAATAAGAAAAAAAATTGCTACAACACTTTTGTGAAAATACTGGACTTTTGGTTTTTAGAAAAATCTTATTTGCTTAAGGCTATTTCCAGACCAGAGCTGCTAAAGCCCTAGAATAAAAAAAGTTACAAATGCTGATAAAAAGGAGACTCCTTCATATCAACCTTGAGTTACTTTATATTGTTTAATCGTGCACAAGAGGGGAACTGGAAGAACTCTTGTAGTTTAAAAAACTGTGCTGTTATTTAAAAAGGAGGGTGTGTCAAAGACAGATGAGTTAATATAAGAAAAAATTCAACCATGTTGCAAGTCACTGAAAAAAACCATGCATACATGGTTGCAAGATAAAGCAGCCCATCTGTGTAATTTACATAAATTATACTAGTTCCTAGCAGTCCCATACAATTGATGCTGCATCTAGAAATTAGCAGAGCATAGGGAGGTCTGTACCTCACCCTACTTATTACAGATTTCCAGTGGCTGGGAACTGCAGATGTCATGGCAGGGACCTCATGGGAGGAGCAAAACCAGTCACCAGGAGCTTCTGTCTCTCTGGCTGGGACATGTTTTCCCACAAAAGCCCTCCTTACCCTTTGCACAGATGCACTTGCTGTTTCACCTGCATCATCTGCAGCACGGAGTGGGTTTTTGTCTCGTCTTTGCCCCATCTCTAGTTGTTTACTGCTTTGTCTGAAGTCCCCTGTGTCTGTCACAGTGGAATGCAGCAGCCCTGCTCATGGTTGGGTTGCATTGCACCATTTTACATTTGTTTATTTTTATTAGCATGCCTTGTGAGGACAGTCAAGGTTGTGATTTTCAGTCTGATGTTGGCCTTTTCAATGTTTCTTTTCTGCTGTAGTTGAGATGGATAGTCTTTCTGAACTATCCCAGCAAGGTGCCAACCATGTCAACTTCGGTCAGCAGCCAGTCCCAGGGAACACAGCCGAACAGCCTCCATCTCCTGTTCAGCTTTCTCATGGTAGTCAACCATCAGTTCGGACCCCGCTTCCAAACCTGCACCCTGGACTTGTATCTACTCCCATTAGCCCTCAGCTGGTAAATCAGCAGCTGGTAATGGCCCAGTTGCTGAACCAGCAGTATGCAGTGAACAGACTTCTAGCCCAGCAGTCCTTAAACCAACAGTACTTGAACCACCCTCCTCCTGTCAGTAGATCCATGAACAAGCCGTTGGAGCAGCAGGTCTCAACCAACACAGAGGTGTCTTCCGAAATCTACCAGTGGGTCCGTGATGAATTGAAACGAGCAGGAATCTCACAGGCAGTATTTGCACGTGTGGCTTTTAACCGAACTCAGGTCAGTCGTCTTTTTTCTCATTTTTTTTTAAAGTCTAAGAGTCTCTTCTTTCTCTCTCTAATTAGTAATTGCCATCTTCTAAGTCTGCCTGGTCATTTCTGCCTGGTCTTGTCTCTTAGCTCCTCTGAAGGAACCATGCTTTCTTGCAGGATTACTGTCCATGTTAACCAAGTACTGAAATCCTCAGGGACTGGTTTGTGGAAATATCCACTGTTCTTACAGGAAGCATGGTTCCTCTCCAGTTGTGATGGTTTATGAATAGCTGAATTTCCCAGTAAAGGAAATGAACAGCTCTGTGCAGAGGTATTCACAAAGTCACCAACAGATTGCCTTTTGTGTTGTAGAGTTGTACCCGCTCTGACCACCTGCACGCACTGAACAACCTGGCTTCTTTCACAGGTGTACTGGAGATGGTCTTTTATCTATACTTGCATTTATTTCTATTATTTCCCCGTGAAAGTCCTAATAACATCTTTTCAGGCTTCTGAAGAGATTAAAAATTAAAAGCTTTATCTCTAGATCATCTACTCTCTTCATGTATTTTTGTAGTTTGTTGCAAAAGCAGTAGTTGCTGAGCTTGCCGGTGTCCACGTCAGAACATATACTTCAGCTCTTCAATGCAGAAAAAGCCAGCCCTAGCAAAGCTGATAAGTAACACTAAAATGTGTTATTTTTTACACCTGTTTTAGAAGCTAACCCTGTTATAATTTATTCTGCTCTATGAATTTAACTTAATGCCATGTTGCATGGAATTTAATCAAGCAGAAATTATAGAAGAAATGTCAGTATATTGAATGCAAATAATAAGATCTCAAAATTTTAAAAATATGCTATAACACAAAATAAAATATTTTTAATAGGACATTGTAAAATGGGAAATATGTAAAAAAGACATAGTTAAATTTGCTTTGGGTTCCCTATTTTTAAATAAAAAACACATACTTAGGGAACAATTTGCCCATGTAGATTATAGTATAACAAAAAATATTATCATTTGAGCTTCTCTTGAAACGTTTTTGTTTCTCCCTGCATAGCTTAGAGAATAAAAATTCTGTTTCATATGCTCTTGTGCAGGTTTGAATCAGCATGTCATTTATAATTGTTCCGAATTACTATTGCCTTACAATATTTTACAGCCTCCTTTAGCTAAAAGAAAGTAGAGTCATTGTGTGAATTCTCTGTAGGGCTCTGTATGTGTGTGTCTTTCCTCTTTAGAGGAGGTTTTCAAGATCTGGGCCTTTCATACCAAATTTCATTGCTTACGTGAACTCCTGCAAAGATTATTTACATTAAGCTAGGTCCAGGCAGTGTTAGTTGTTATATTTACAAATAAGGGAGTCTTGTTTCATAGAGTGTTTAAAAATTTAATTATTAATACTCTGAGGTATTAAAGCAATAGTAGTAGCTTCGTGTTACAGTGGTTTGCAGCTGCCATCTTACCTGGACAAAAAAGCCAAGCAAGTAATTAATAAAATAAAGTTTATTTTATATTTACTTCTTTCTAATGTTTGCCTAAAAGCACATTGTTTTATTTAAGCTTTCCCCCCTCTGAAGTGGTCAGTTTTTGTCAGCTAGTTTTGCATACAGCTTTTGGCGTTTCCTTTGTGCATAAGCAGTACTTGTTACCTGAAATACAAGGATGATTGGTTCTGACTGGACATTGAATTTATATGACAGAGTAGGAGAAAATGCTCTTTTGATGTGATGAATGCAGCTGTAGAAAAAGATTTCTAGTGCAAATACTGATTCTTTACTTTAATATTAGTATTATTACACTAAATATATATTAAAATATGTATTGCTATGTATTTTTCTTGCTACAAATGTTATTAAATATTCGTTTAAAGTTCAGTTCTTCTCCAGACTTTGTGGTGTACTTGGTAAAATGTGTTGAGAGTGACGCAGAACTGAGGAAACCCCAAAATGAACATTGAAAGTAATTCTCCAAAAGTGATACTAAAAACACCTATATATTTTGGCAATTTTCAATCAAATCTATTTGAAAGAACACAGAGTAGTATTCCTACGTCCTACAAATTGTTTTTGCTAATCAAGTTAGTATTCACAGTTACCTAGGAAAGATTTTGCAATATTTGTTATGTTTTGTGGCAAACATATGGAGCAAAAAGGAAAAATACTAGGAACCTAGAGAGGGTCAACATCAATTTTGCCAAGAAATATCTCAGCATACTTTTCATATGAAGCAAAGCCCCATTGAAATGCAGAAGAGTTTGTTGCGGGTGCATTTCACCTTTACAAACCTGAAAATTGTTAATTTTACCCATAGTGACAGCTAATATCCAATGGTAAACACTGGTACCAGCAATTTTTACATGAAAAATTTAAAAATTTGCTCTGTTTGCTGTATTTCTGATTTCCTCACAGCTTATTGAAGGATACATCACATTGAGCTAAAATTAGGATAGTACTTTAATAACTGATGCAGTTGAGGAGTTATTTTCTAATAGTGATGTAATATCCTAAGTTTTGGGGGGTTTTTGCTAGAAAAGTGAAAATGCTTGTTTAAATTCCTGCTCTGTTTTCTGAGATAGAAAGCTAACTCAGGCTTACCAGTGACATTTTTGAAACTGTCATAAGCATATTTGAGCCGTGTCCAGGGACCATATCATGCCATCAGTTTTTAAAGGCGTAAGAACTTGCTGAAATTGGTTCGGAGTTCTGTGCAAGAAAACCCTGGTGTCAAGATACAGTCTCAGATGAGGGGAGAGATTTGCTTTCAGTGTAAAAGTTAAGGAAGGAAGCAATCTATAAATTAAGAGTTATTTAGCTTAATGTTTAGGCAATAAAATGGAGTTCGAAATTGGCTGAAGATGCTTTTATTTTTCAGACTTATGCTCTACAATATGAATACAGAATTTTGTGGTGGTTTTTGGGTTGGAAGTTTCTCCCAGTGTAGTGTGGTAATTCAACACTTGATCCTAATTTTCAAGATTTTGTAATTTGGCTACAAAAATGTCAACTAGAAATATTTCCTATCTTTCCACAATCCAAGAGTTTGGTAAAGATATTTCTGAGAACTAGAGAGTATTTTTTTTTACTATTACTAATTATCTATAAAGCTGAGAAAAAAATCCCTTAGGTACACCTTAGAAGCAAGTCCTTAAGAAAGAATGTGACTTTAATATGTTCTTGAATAATTTCCCCCCACCTTAAGTTCCAAATGGTAGTTTCAAAACTGAATTGTCAGGAATGTGCTTTGTAAACTTTAATCAAGGTCCAGATGCCTATAACTTGAATGAAACTTTCACATCTATACAGGCACAATAGGACAACTGTTGCAGGGAGCAGACGTAGTTTCGGCAGATGGAATTTCTCTATAGTCTGCCTAGGAAGTCTTCAGAGTACATGCAGTAGGATCTGAGGTTTTGCTTGTCCTTCAGCAGTTGTGATTCCAACTCACTGGATGCAAAGAAACAGGTTGAATCCTGTTAGCACCTCCTTTCAGCGCACTGTGGAAAACTCTGTTGAGTTAGTACTTGTGCTGGCAGATCTGAGTTTCACCTCAAGCAAGGTGTCCAAAGGTCTCCAGTCTGCCAGGATAATTTTGGTAAATTGAGATGCTTATGTTTCAGTTGCCAGTTCATCAAAATAATAAATATAATATTTCGTTTTAGCTGATGTCAGTGCACTGTGCAGATACCTCTACTGTCCTGAAAGAGCAAGTTCCCTATTTTCTTGTGCTTTGCAGGCTAGAAAATGATCAGTTGTTGATCAGTTTGCTGCCTTGGGTAGCCCCGAGCAGCCAGGGTGACAGTGAAAGAGGCATTGGGGTAGCCCCCTAAAGTGTGGCGCCACAGGCCCCTGTCAGCAGAGAAGCTCTGCCTGCTGTTTCAAATATTAAGTTAAAGTGGGAGTTTAAACTCTTCTCTGTTTTGTTCTTAAAGCTGGAGTGCAACATCAACATTTGTTGGGCTGAACTGCCCTCAGAGCCCTAAACAAATAAATAAACTCCTCTCCCATTTGTGTTGTGTGTTTCTAAATGTTAGCATGAGTCAGGAAGCGAAAGGCTTGAGTTCCCACAGTCGGACATTTGACTGGAAGGTGCAGCTTAGCCTGGTGCATGGCAGGGTGACGAGCCCGCACTGTGCGACCAAGGAGTTATGTTAGTCATGGCTGTGGCTGGAACTGGAACTGGGGGCTGCCTCCCTCTGTTTGTGTACACTTTCAGCTGTAAGGTTTGCTGCAGGGACTTGAGTGCTGTTACACAGAGGTGACCTCATGGCTCTGTCTTTATGAAAGAAGGAAGAGTGCTTTTTGCTGCTTTTCTCTGTCTGAACTTTGATACTTTTTGCCACAAGTGATGGTGTTTGATTGGAAGGTTTTTGAATATTTCTCAGTGTTTCTCACTTTTCTCTCTCCCTTCTTTCTACTTGAGCCCCATGCTTGTTTAAAATATTAGCTGCCAGGACGTACTGCCTTTCATTCATGTATAATGCCTTTTCTCATATGTGAAAACTTCTGTGTATTTAGGACTGTGCTCATGCTAATTCTGGGCAAATGCTATTTTGAAGGAGAATGCTTGGATGCACTAAGTGGCTCTGTGTAATTGTAAAACAAAATCTAAGTTTACACAAGCCACCTTCTCAGGCACTATTTTTTTTTTTCCTTCCACTTTATCTTTGGCACACTTTATTTTCCAGTAAAATGAAAAATGAAGATGGATTATTCAAAATTGATAACAGTAATGGACCATCATGTAATGTTTTATTGAATTTGAGTTCTGTAAATTATGTGGTAGAGAGAAATTTGCCTGCTTAAGTATAACAGAAATTGCCACTGTATTCATATAATTCTTCATAGTGTAATTTAAGAAAAAGTACACTATCCATATCACCATTGAATAAAAGGTAAAAAGGTGCTATTACACTATCATGACAGCTCTCCTCTTGCTACTAAGCGACATAGATAAATGTGTCTGCTTATAACTTACTTGGCTAGGGTCCAGGCTTGGAAGTGGAGTTTGGGAATAATCTTCCACCTGGACATGGGATAGGAGGGCCCTGCAACCAAGAGGGATAGTGTTCAGGGATGTTCTGCGTGTTTTGGGAAGGTTTGGGCAAATTGCATGTTTCTTCTGGAAGCTTTGAAGTTCTATCACACTGATAAAAATCTATTTGAATCAGTGATTATGTTCAAGGAGGAGACAAACTGGGGGCCAGACAGGCAGTGTTTTTGTTCATATTGGCAGACACTTTAATTTATCTCCATTTTTAAAGAATTTGTAATGAGCTTTTGAAAGCCTTGATAATATTTATTGAACATTTTTGTGCCATTAGTAATGAATTATACTTGTGATGACATGTAAACTTGTCCTTTTTTTTTTCCAATGGAACCTGGGAATATTTAAAAAAACACATTTCCATTGCAAAGGGAATAGAAGGGAGGAACATTGATGAGGGCTCTGAGCCTAACAGTGTTTATAATCTCTTTGCAAAACAAGCTTAGTTTTTATGCAATTTGAGGTACAGTATCAGGAGATCACACCAAGACTAGTATCTTGGAAAACCAGTTTAAGCCTGGTAAAATGGACAGTTAATCTCTCCACATCAGCACAGACCAGAATGTGAGAGCCAATGTTTTCTTTCTAGGATTTTTCCCATTGTACACCCTGTCTAACAACTTTTAGCTAAAGTTTTGTGCTCAAAAATTGAAGTAGTAGCAATGAAATAATATGTGAAGCAGGCAACCTGTGTTCTAAGTCTGCCTGCACCTGGTGCTACATCTTCATTTTCATGAGTTTTCCTCACATATTCTGACCTTTAGGTTTAGAGCCTAGAAGCAAACTCCTCCTGCCTTCTTTCTCTGTGCTCTGTCATCTCCCCTCCTCTCCCTGCATTGCTACTCTCTGCTCTGCTCTGCTCCCAGGTCAGAGTCATGACAGTGATTGGGGAAGAGAGAAGAATGAATACTTAGTGGCATTTCTGATCACCAAGAGGTGTCCCACAGCAGTGGAAATGCTAAAATGTTAAAAAAAAAAAAAAAAGAAAATATTAATACCATTTTCTTTGTTTACTTATTTCACTGAAGAGGGAAAAGTTATACAAGAACACGAGCCTTTTCTAACTTTTTTAGCTGCCCACTATGTGGCTAAGGCTTATACAAGCAAATATTTTCTATTATGGGCTAAATTATTTTTTAAGGACATTTTCTGTAGCTGACAGTGGGGTGGCTTTTTGTAAGGAATCTTCTCTCCTGACAATGATCAGTCCACTTGAGTTTCATTTTTCTTGCTCATTTATTCATGGAGAGGTGTCTCCAGCACAGAAACAATCAGAAATCACTGTTTACAACTACCTATATGGAGATGAATGATGTGAGCTTTGGTCTCTTCTGCCAAGTAACAACAGGGTGAGAGAGAATGTTCTCAGGTTATGTCAGGGGCTGTTTAGATTGGATATCAGGAAGAATTTCTTCTCCAAAAATGTTGTCCAGCACTGGAACAGGCAGATAGGGAAGTGGTGGAATAACCATCCCTGGAGGTATCTGAAAGACATATAAATGTGGTACTTGGGGACATGGTTTAGTGGTGGGCTTGGCAGTGCACAGTTAATGGATGGACACAATGATCTTAAAGGTCCCTTCCAACATAAGTTTTTCTATTATGTTCTCTATGTCCTGTGCTCTGCAGACAGCTTTTCCTTGTCTCCAGTAGAACAAAATCATTTTGTACCTGCTCTGGAGGTGGATTGTGTAACCCTACCACTAACAAACACTGTTAACTGTGGATTTGAATATTTAAAAGTAGAAAAAACAATAGACACGAATTTATTTGCCATATTTGCTAATAAGTAAATTTATTATTAGACTAACCATTAAGAAAAAAAATTAAAACATGACCCAAATGCCACTTTTTCAGTAACTTATTTATTTACCTTCTGCGAAATTTCTGCCTGGATACCAGAAAACAGGAGGGATCATGAAAAGTGGTAAGAAAGGATCCCCCGAGAGTATTTTTTTCTATCCTCCTCCTCTGAAATATTTTTCATGCTGAATGCTGGAAAGATTGTTGGGTTTTTTCCATCCCGTTTCCCCGTTACACATGCAGGCACAGGCAGGGCCATGAGGACCACCCTGGCTGAGGTGTGGTGGTTGGTACCTCCGTCCTCATCGCCCAGCAGGGAAGTGCAGAGCTCACACCCACACTAGGTGGGGCCTGGTCCTGCCTAAGCACAGCTGCTTGAGAGTAGTGGCTTTGCAGCAGCACCTCCCTAAGGGTCTTTTGCCTGATAGGATAAGACCTTTGAGAGACGTGACAACTTCCACAGGTGCTGCAGGCATCAGACTTCCCAAAAAGATTCCCTTGGCCATATCATTCTCTTGTACCCCCTTAGGAATATATATATTCAGTAAGTATTACCTATCTTAGTTTTGACTTTTTATTGTTTGCTTCCCTCTCTCTATTTACCCCTTCATTATCCTGAATAACTTACAAAAGTTTGTTAGGAAAATAAACGTTGGGTTATCTTATTCCTTGAAATTCACGTGTGTGTTCCCTTGTTGCACTATAAGTAAGAGAGCCTCCCGTGCCAACCCTCTCTCTTTCCCAGCATGGCAACAATATTTATTCTGAATAGTAGTTCACATCTGCTTTTCCAAAAGTTACCTTTCTTATCACCATCTTGTTACTCCAAGACAGCAGAGCCTTTTGAATGACATATTTAAAAGGAGAATCTGGCAGGGAGAGATGTCAAATACCTGTTGACACTAAATATAAATATCCCAGGCAATGGACTGTTTGAGGATTAGGGTTGTCCTGATGAAGAGAGAGGAAGGTGCAAGAAGAAGGTGGAACATGAGGGCATCCAATGAGTTTCCTCACTCGTTAAACTCCAATATGCAACTCTTAGAAAGAAATACTGACTTATAAAAAACATGGCTCTGAGTCAGTGAAGTAGTATTTGAGAAACGTTGCAAGTTTATAGTCTCAGATTAGTTGTGAAATATCACATCCTTTCAAAGATCTATTTAAGTTGCTAGAAATGTGAAATCCTTTTTTTAAGGTTGGGTGTGCATTTTGCCTGTGAAGCCTGAGAACCCCCCAGTGTATCTCGCTTATCCTTAATGTCTCGTGATTATCTGTGGACTGTAAAAAATATCATGGCAAGTTAAGCCAGTAAAAGGAGGAAGACCTATTAGGAAGATTCAGTTTATGTTGTATTTAAAACAGGTGCTTAATAAAATTAAGGGTACAATTGAGGCTCTCTTCTCTGCTACCTGAAATGCCATTAATATAATCCTATGTGGAGCGAACTGTGCATTTGCTGTTCTCATTGCCAGCCCAGTGGTAAGAAGAACAGGGACTGATAAGCAATGGCTTTGCAGAGCACGGTTTTACAGACACTCGCCTAGGCTAACTCTGGAGCCTATGTTTTCTTCCTTCCCTACAGGGCTTGCTCTCAGAAATCCTCCGAAAAGAAGAGGATCCCAAGACTGCCTCTCAGTCCTTGCTGGTAAACCTTCGGGCTATGCAGAACTTCTTGCAGCTGCCGGAAGCAGAACGAGATCGAATTTACCAGGACGAAAGGGAAAGGAGCTTGAACGCAGCGTCCGCCATGGGCCCGGCGCCTCTCATCAGCACACCGCCCAGCCGGCCTCCACAAGTAAACTGCTCTCTCTGCCTCTGGGGTTTGCTTCTTGTGCTCTCTCTCTGTCCTGCTGGGTGAGACCTTTCTGAAAAAGAAGAAACCTTTTGCTGTCGCACTTTTTAAACATTGGTAGAATCATTACTTGCAGTGCATATTGCAAATTAAATTTAGGAAATATAATGGATGATAGTAGCACTTTATTACTACCTATTTTCTAATTTTAAGATAAATTCTATCCTTTATGGTTCCTACAGAATTTTTTGCTCATTTTATTGCGGTACAAGCTTTACTGGGCATGGATGATGACAGCTTATAGCTGTCATCTTACAATTCTTAGGTTCTTAATGTTATAGCTTCAGATAGGAATTTTGAGGGATTTGGACCATTAAACTGAGAGGGAATAAAAGCAGAAGTGTGAGTACCTTCTAGTGCCTTAAAAACTATTTTTCCAGAAAGCAAACAGGTAAAACTAAAGTGATAGGGGAAAGAAGATCCTGTCCCATAATGCTGGGCATGCTTTTACCATCTTGAGCTACTGACAACTGCTTAAAATAACAGCTTGCTATATCCATTGCTCTGAATTATTTGGATATGCTCATTAAAGCTTCATGTAGTATCTGCTAAAATGAAACTCCTATTGATTTTTCTAAAATTTATTTGATTTAATTCTTCAAAAATTACAAAGTTTGATAGAGTGGGATCAAGAGATTCAATGGTGCAGTCCTTGTGTCGATCAAGGAAATTCTGATGCTTGTTTTAAGGTACATGAGAAATGCATGTGAGCAGTAGGAATGCACAGAATTTCCACAAAGAAACATGGTTCACTCCAAAACCTGTATATTTTCAGAAATACTCTGCGTTGCTCTGGCTCAAGGTTGTACTTATGCAAGGAAAATCCAAACTGATCTGCAGATATGTGGTAATCATGCTGTATACACAGTCCACTTTTGCTAAACAAAGCAAAGCTTTGCGATTGTGGGAATTTTGTGATGGGTGATTTTTTTGAGAAAAAACAGCAGGTTTTTGTTATCCAGTCATAGGCTTGTGACTGTGACTATGTTCTATACCCGTTCAGAATGCTATAAATTCCTCTTGAGATTATTTTTCTAAGTTACCTTCAGCTAATGGATACTAAGAACCACACTAAAGTAACGAATAACAAAATTGTAGGAGGGAGGACAGAAGATCACCTTGACCTGCTGCAGCACTTTTCACAAGAGAAGAATTTTTTACCAGAAAAAACAGGCTGTACTAATGGTGTAGTTTTGTTATCATAACTGAGTTTAGTCTATAAAATCCACTATAGATATTCTTCAAGATAAAGGACAAGAATCTATTTACATAGGGATGCTTTTGTGGGAAATAGTTAAATAGAGATAACTGTGTTTAAAATAACATTTGAGTTTGTTTTAATATCTGTACCTGCTCCCACAGCCCAGGTAATTCAGAGCCAAGGCTAACCCTTCTTCTTAACTTATCTCTTTCTGCCAAGGTAATGTCTCACTCTGTCTCAAGTGGTCTTGGGCAATTTCACAGCTAAAGAACAGAGTTAATTACAGGACCTTCCTGAAGGATGTCATGTCAGAGGTAGTCCTTGTACTGGTTTTAATTCACACTTTAAACTGTATAAATCCCTTGCAGCCAGAAAGAAAGTGAGACTAAGGGGTTTTCTTAACTGACAAAACATACTGTAAGTCCAAATTTGATGGGAAAGGGGGGCTAAATCTATCTGTCTCTACTGTGCTCTTGTTCATAATTACATTTCGTTTTTTTAGTGTGAGTCAGGAGTATAGTTAACCTAATTGCGACAGTTCAAAGTGGAAACAGCATACGTTTTTGTTTTAATCCTTTTCAAAAGGAAAGCAAGTTTAAAAGGAAACATTATAGACTAATACTTGAGGTCTACAGAACAAAGCACTTATTTTTCCAGTTGTTGTGCTGTTCTCAGTCATTCAGCAAAACACACACATTTTCCCTAGTGAATAGATTGAGAATGTAGAAACCTCTGAGTTGTGATTCTTTGTGACCTTGTTTCCAGAATTCCCTACTAAAAACATCTGAAGCACTTTTCACCTGCTGCTAAGTGTTCAGTCTTAAGTTTGAAAATTGAAATATCTGTGTTGGTAAGATAACTACAATACTTGGTGCTTGAAATAATAGTGAAATTGTCCTAGTTGTAACACTGGCAAGTATAACTTTACAAATCACAGCAAAAATAAATTACAGTCAGGATACTGCAAAATTTTCAATGCAAACTGCTACTGTGATACCTCCTGCAAAATATCCACAGTTTATTGAATATTTGATACTAAGGAAATAAAACTACTATCATCCTTACTACTAAATTTATTATAAGCAATTATTTAAAGATCACTTTGCAGGAATACAGCATAATATTTTTCCAGCTTGACTGTGAGCTTCTTGGATAACCATTGAAAGAGAAAACAGACCGTTTATCCTGACAACAGAATTAACACAAGAGCCAACATATTTAATATTAAATCTTTAGACCAGTGTAACGTTTGAAACAATTAAACTATGAAACCATGAAAAATGGGAGCTAATATGCCACACATGAAGGTTTATTTTGCAATTGCAAGTTATCAGTTTCGGAAGGATGTGAAAATAAACATCCTGAAAAGGATCTATTTTGCATTTTTGTGTTGCCAACTGGTGGCCAGACAGTAGAGCAGACTTAACCATTTAGCAGCTGAGCTTGTTCTGTGTAAATTTTCCATTCTGTTGCATGCAAAAACAGAAAGTGTGACCTTGGAGGTCTGATTGGATAGTAGGAACTCACCAAGCATAAACCCTGGTGCCTGAGTTAGAAGGAACAGTGTTGAATTTATCTCATTTTTACAGCATTCTTACTAGTTGCTACTTGAGCTAATGTATCTGGATTGGTTCCAATTCTTTTTTGAAATCCTTTAAGAAGCTCTTTGTCCCCGTTACTTCTCCCTTTCTCTCTGACTTAAACAAAATGCAAAATCTTACTTTTTTTTTTTTTAATTGAAATCATTAGCCTCTAATGCATGAGCTTTTGGGATGCGTGTATAGCCCTCTAAGCTGGTCAAGTTGTAAAAGTCTGCTACTATCTTCCACACTGGTGGACTGAGCACAAGGAGACGGCGTGCACAAGGATTTTTCCTTTGGACGTTGTTCGAGTTGCTACCCCTGGGGCAGAAGCCTGTCTGTCAGGCTGTTTCCTGGGGCACTGGAATTTATAAGTATTAGCATCTCCATCAGGTAGGTACTGCATGGAGACATTTAACCTCTGCAATCTAGAAGGAAAGGAAAAGGTCCTTTCACGTTCTATTTCTTTTAATCATTTCCCCGCACTCTTCAACACCTTCGTCTTGCAGATCACCCCACAAAGGCCCTTCTGGGATATTCCTAGGTCAAGTTGAGAGAATGAGTCTATTGCATGTTACATGGAAATGAGAGAATCTGGCGATAATTTGGAGGATGATGAGGTGCTAGGGATGGCCTTTATGTCTCATCAGGACAGTTTGGGATGTGAAGGGAAGATGACTCCCCCTCCTCTGTATGGTTTGTGGGAAGGATAGAGACAGGTGGCCAAGTTACAGATTTTCTTTTCCAATATATTCTGCTTAAAGGTTTTTAGCCATCCTGCAGTTACAAACACTTCTTTCCCAAGATAAGTAATCTCCATTTCAGCCGAGCCAAGGAAGAAACCTTTATGCCACTCATATTCCCCAAAGAAAATTTGTTTTAACCCTTGGGGCCCATCATCATCCTGTGTAAAATAGAGTACGTGTAATGTCAAGAGCAGAATATTATTTTAACAAGGCAATGTTTTAAGAAGTAGCCAAAATCTTGCATGAGTCATGGTTCTAGGTACTCATTGACCAAAACCTTCAATTCTTAAATACAATCCTGGCCTCTCTGACTGCAGATAAATTACAAGTTTAAAGCAATATCATGGGTTGGGTCTCAGAGATAGGATGTTACTCTTGAAAGAATGATATCTAAGAGAGCGCTGCTTTGATGATGTTTGAGGAACAGTGAATCTCCATTGCAAGGAGTTTGGGATAACACCAGCTTCCTTGAAACTTTATGGTGGAATCCTAGTCCCACATGCATGTGCCATGTATCGCCACCAGCAAAATTTTTATTTTCAAGTTGGCAAAATTTTAGATTTAGGTTGAAAATCTTTGTGCCAAGTTGCATTTTAATGAAAGTAAAATGAACAAAATAATAAATGCAATCCTCTCCTCCCACCCCCACAAAAACCACCATGGAAGAGAGTTAATGGAAACCCTGACACTTAACTATAACTGCACTTCCAGGCGCCACTGTAATAATGGAGTAGTAAACCTTGTCCCGATAAAAGCTGTTCTGAAAGCAACAGCATTTATTGTACCTCCTCTGCTATTTGCAGAGCAGAACTGAAAAGTAGTTTGTTTTGCCTGGAATGAACTACTTTATGAATTTTAATGTACAATGTAATATTAAAAGCTAAACCAGGATTAAAGAAGATTTTTGTTCCCAAGCTAAAACAGTAGTTATGAGAATGTGTTATATAAGATTTTTTTGTTTCAGTTTCGATGGGGAAGGAATGAGCTTCCATGTTTGTGAAAACCTCTTCATGCTGGTTATTCCTTCTATGACAACTTACCCTTTTTTTGGAAAACTGAATTAATCCAGAACTTCTTGCTGCTGTAATCAGTCTTATTTGATGAGAAGATATATCTGGGTAGGCCAGGAGGAGATGGATATGTTATTTTTTTTCAAGTATTCTTAGAAGACTAGATTGATTGGTGATAGGAAGATGGCCAAATGAATTCCTGATTCTCAGTGTGTTACATTTGTAAAATAATGCTCCCCTCTTCAGTTAGTATTTCCAATATTTGGTTACTGTCAAAAAAAAAAAAAAAACTAGCTGATCTATGGTTTCTTTCCTAAACAGAAAACGTGGCTGTAGGTGTGGGTGGGGTGGGAGGTTGTGCTTAAGTGTGGATGAGATGAGAGATTATATTTTGTTTTGTTTTTCTCTCCAAAATGAATACTTTTTCCACCTCCTCTCTCAAGTCCTGGAGTTGCACCATTGATAGCTTTTTTGTTTTCTGTTGGGTTTTTTTGAGGAGGAGGGTGTTTTTTCAACCCAGCTTCAAACAGCCTCTGTCTTGAACTCAATTCTAAATTCAACACAACAGCCTAGATGCTGCTTATGTATAAATTATGAAACAGTTATATGTATGGATATTCTCCAAGAGGTTAATTGACATTATTGCATGGAATTCATCAGACCAGAGCAGACCAATAGTAAGTCTAGACCAGCCAGAGTCTTCACCTGATCTTTGAAGAGAAATTATTAAGACACAGGAAAAGAATTTTTATACTTGGCCAATGAAGTGAATTGGAAAGGGAGAGGGTATGATGAAAACCACAACTCTTGGTAATCCCCAAACCATCATTTTATAACTTTATGACTTTATTCCCCTGAAGATCTTTGGGCTAATACTGGTTTTTGATGCAGATATTAGTGTTTTCTGAATTCAATTAGTGTTCCCTGATTAAATATCAACAGAAGGCAATAGGAGTTTGTTTGTTTTAACTTTGATGACATATTAGATGCTGTTGAATTTATTGTACCTGTATAAAGATAGATGTGATTTGCAAACCAGAATGAGGATTTTCAGTAATTCCCTGGGTTAAATGCATATCCGTATTAAATTGGACACTGAGAAGTGTGGACCAAGTAGCATAGTTTAAATTATGTCTACAGCATGGGTGTGTGATGGCTTTTGATGGTCTGTGTGTTCACAGCTCAGTTAAGTGATCTGTGAAGTACTGCTACAACATGAAGCTGTCCTTTGAAGCTCAGGAGCAATCAAAAAGGCAGTGTGCTTACCGAAGAGACACATTTTGATCAAGATCACAAGAGGAAAGTGTTTTCTTCCCAAAAACTTGTGTATGCTGGCTGAATACCTTCATCTTTTTGTCTTCCCCTTGGGTCTTTCAAAGATTAGTTACAAGTTTAAATTATTTTGGGGGGAAGGACTGAAATTTGTTTCCCAAAATTTAAACCCAAGGTTCAAGAAGGTGCCTTGATAAAGCCATCACTTTTTCATTCTCTAATTTAGCTTAGGCTGATTTTTACATGCACAGAGATAAGTCTGTCTACGGTTGTATGTTTAACATCCCCACCACTTGTCAGTTATTTTCTGGCACATCCTTCTTATTTAAAAGTTATAAAATTGCCACTGATTTTGTATTTTTAAATTATTTCACTGTATGGTCTTCAGGAGATGCACCTGCTCTTGCAGCCCTGTACTGATTTGTCAGGTGTGAGGCATACTTTTTCCTGCTCTGCAGTGGGAAGGAGAGAGTTTCATGGTGCTGATTCTCCCTCCCTGCTGCCAGGTGCCTCAAATGTTTCTGAGCAACCTTTGGTCCAGGCTTGGCCATCCTCTTGTGCAATGTGGCTGGTAAAATGTCACACTACAGAAAAGGGTATGGCTGTAAAGTACTAATTGTTTTCAGATGGAAAAAAAAAATCATATTGTTAACTGTATGCCACATTCTGGGATTTTTCTCCATTTCCATTTTTACTTAGAACCCTTGTGCTAATGTCTGCCAGAATGGGGGCAAGGAAATGCTTGTGGACAACTTGTCCTTCTGAAGTTTTGCCCCTTGTAGTTAATGGCCATGTGTTAGCACAGTTCCTGAAAAGCCTGATGGACAAATCATGTTCAGCAAAAGTGGCATGCACTCCCAGTTTCTGGACTAGATTATTTTATATTAAAAGCACTATGGATGATAGCTAACACAAACTGAGGATGGCATTTCTAGGAAAAAATGGGCTGCTGATTTGCCTAAGTACATCTCTCATCCAAACCCTTTGACTCCCATATTGTGAGACCTGTGACATATGCAAGCTCATAGAGAGTGAGATTAGAAGATGAATTATCATGTTGTCATGATTTCCTTTTGAACCTCAAGGGACTTCAGAGCACAGGAAGAAGCTGACTTGCACTGGATCAAACTGATAGTGAAAGTGTGAGTTTAGGCATGTACTTAAGAGTAGGCTGAATCACCTTCTGGAAGTGCCAGGCTCTGTCCATTAGACCTAGAATTAGGCTGAATGACTGTCTTCAACTAGCTGTATAACTTTAGAATAACCAAATTAATTCAGCTCTCAGTAACCTCTGTATGAGTCAGTATGTTTGAATTGAAATCTTAAGGTTTGATTTTGTTTGCATCATCACCTTGTGGGTTCTCGGCAGAAATCCAGTTTTCCTTTCCTCTGACCCACTTTAGGATTAGTGGCCCATTAGGTCCACTAATCTTGAGCAAGCCTTGCAAGAGTAACTGCTAAAGACAGACGTTATCCTAAACTACTGAGAATATTGTAGGATAAGCTGAGTACCTGCTGATTTTTTGTACCTCTCAACTGATATTGCAGAAACTGCAGTCTAACCTTGGTGGGATGATGCTTGGTGTTGAAACATCACTTCCATCATTTCCAGAGGATGAAGGAAAGGATAGTCTCCTGCACATCATGTCGCTACTGATGTATTTTTTTGTTGTTTTTCTTAATGCTGCAGATGCAGCATAAAGGTGGTACTGTAATCACTCTGTCTTGTTTACATGTTTGGTGTTTACTTAATCTGGATTGCAAGAAGAGTAAATATTTGGTGTATGTAAGTGAAATACAATTAGAATCAGTAGCTTTAAGAAAGTCCTATCTTTGTTTCATGGAGTGGTTAAAGTATGCATTATTCTAAACTGTCTCTTAAAAACAGCTTAAGAATCAAACTGATAAGATAAATTTTTAAAAATTCAATCTAAAGCCACAACTTTTCAACATTATCATGCATTTAAGTGTACTGGGCATAAGACAGGAATCAAGATATATCTGTCATATTTCTATTTCATTAGAGATTCTTTTATCTTGCACTTAAAATTTTTACTTAATTTGTGTGGGGCAAAGAAATCATGTAAGGGTTCACAAGTCTCTACAAGACTGTTTGACAGGTTTCCACCTAATTTATGACATTGAAATTTGCAGTGGTCTGTTAATGGTAACTTGAATTTCAGATGCACCTGTTACAATGCACTGAATTTTCCTGTTTCCCAGTTGCTGGAACTGTAGATAACTTATAATATTTATTCTGCAAAATGCTGAAAGAATATCAGAGAAAGATTGGATAGAAGGAATAAAATGCAAAGGGGAACTACTTAGGGAGGGAAAGAGAGGAAATAACTTTTTCATAATGAAAAATGTCTCATATTTTCTAGGTCAAAACTGCTACTATTGCTACAGAGAGGAATGGAAAACCAGAAAACAATTCCATGAACATTAATGCTTCCATTTATGATGAGATTCAGCAGGAAATGAAGAGAGCTAAGGTGTCCCAAGCACTGTTTGCGAAGGTTGCGGCAACCAAAAGCCAGGTAAAATTCCCAGGGCTCAAAGAGCTCCATTTCCTGTGCAATTATTCCCCCAGATCAGTTTCTATGTGAGTTTAAATAGGTAGCTGGGTCAGTGTATCAGCTCAGTACAACAACTCAGAGCTCCTTGCTGAGTCTGAGCTAACCTCTGGTTCCCCAGAGAGGGTAGAGAAGCAGTTTCCTGAGATGTCTCACTCCCTTTTCCCCACCAGCCAGACACCTTCCCTGTGTGCCCGTGGATCTTGGTGTGGCTCAGAAGGGATCAGGTTCATCAGTTCTCAACTGGTGTGGATGTGGCAAAAGCTGTGGTCAAGATCTGGGTATTGCTGCCAAATTCATCTTGAGGCTTTGGTGTTTTGCAATTGCATGTGCTGCAATGAGGAACGCTGGGGTGCTGGTTTTTTGCAAAAAAAAATTTAGTCAGACCCACTGGTGAGACTGGCATGAGAGGTGGACTGTCCAAAAAAAAGAAAACCAACAAAAAAAGGACCCCAAAAAATTTCAGTTATACAAGTTATAGCTGAGAAAAAAAGTATCATTTTGTCGAACACAATGTCTGCTTGGTTACCTGCTTGCATGCATACATATATATTGCATATTCAGTTTTAAGCCTTTGTTTTGTGGTTTCCTATTCTGCTTTCTTTAACTGAAGATTTTCTGTCAAGTTTAGTGGCTAGAGGGAAATCAGCGGGCATTTGTTGGCTGTGTTTATCATAAATGACATGTCTTCTGAGAAAGATCACTGGAGTATGCAAATGCATTGATTTAAGTGAGAATGTATTCAAGAAGTAAAGGAAAAACATATAGAAAAATGAGAAAGGTATAGTTATACAAATGCTTGAAAGATATCAAGTGTTGAATTTTCATATTAGATTAAGTGTTAAATACACTATCACTACTTCTTTATTTTTCTAAAATTACTTCATAGAAAAATTCAGCATCTTCCAGGGAAAGCTAGTGAAGGTCAGTTAGACTGATGTTTCTTGGGCAATCAGCATTTTAGTGCTGGTTTTCTTTTTAACAAGGCTTTAACTTTTGACTTCTGTGCTGTTCACATTTTGGAGTTCACTTCATAGTACAGAAAGGATGTTGTCTCTTAAGTTATATGGTGTAAGGAGCATTTAAAGGGATATTTTGGAAATGTTGTATCAAAATGATTAAACTCAAGCTGTGGACTGTAAAAATTATAGCTTTATAGGCCACATGCCTGCCTACCCTTCAATCACTGTCAAAGTGATAATTTCAACAATAATATGTTTCTTTTATTGTGGGATTCTAAACACCAAGTGCTGTTTAAACATTAAACTGAATTGTTTATGTTAGTGCTGTACTCAGTGTGTCATACATCAGGCCACTATAATCTCCCATGGAATGTAAAAATTCTGTCATGAATCATGGCTTGTATATCGGAAATTACTGTAATTTTGATTGGAAATTACAGAGCTCTTGAAATGTTTCTAATTATGATAGAATGTTACAGCAGCTTCCAACCTGTGTGCTCCTCAGATGTCTTTATTTACATGTCAAAACTTGGGGTTAGAGAACTGTCCGTTTTCTGCACCTTCCCCTTTCCACTGCATTCTTCTGTAAAGCTAAGGTATGAAGCCAGTCTATCAGCCCACATAATTTTGTTCTAATCTGATTTGTGCAATAGTGCATTTGTTTAAGTGCAAAGCCTTAAAATTTTTAGGTGGATCAGCTCTTTCAGTGCTGACTTTCAGAGGGACAGGCAATCAAAATGAAGCCTGAAAGCCTCCAGAGGATTGCAGGGTTAGTTGAGCATTGATATAAAATCTAGATTCTTGTACAAACCTTGCCACTAAGTACAGAAAACAACATCAAATACATAGTTCTTTTCCATTTTACTCTGGTGATTATACCTGTGTTCTCAGGGGTTATTTTTCCCACCAATTTCAGCAATGTTAATTTATGTGTCTAGCATGCTTTCAGGTCTGTAGTTAAATAAAGTGTCATTTGTACTAGAAAGCTGCTTTGCAGAAGCAGCCTCCTAGGTAGATTAGGATGTGCTGGGTCTTCTCAAACTAGCTGACTGTTAGTAACCCAATTAATAATCTTTCAATATGTAGCACTGCCACCTATACTAAAGGAGGTGCATGTAATGTAAAAGATCCTTTATTGGAGCTCTTCAGTGGTACAAGTAAACATTTCTTGGGGCAAAAAAAGTCTCCCTTGCACAAAAAAGAGGCTTGTTCAAACATATTCTCTAAGAGAACCTCTCTTGAGAGAGATCTCTTTCTGATATTTTTTTCAGTTTGGAGATATTGGTTCCATACTCAGAACTGGAAATCCTGAGATAACCCAAGTTGTAGTGAAAAGTCTGAAGGACTCATATTAGAAAATGATGTGTTGATTAACATTTTTGTTTTTAAAAACTGCTAAAATTGAACATTATTGATTTTATCTTATTTTGGATATAAGGACTTAATTAATTTTGGAGTGCAGTCTGGAGTTGTGATGTAAAACTATATGTGACCTAAACCAGCTCTGTGAGGGGACAAAGGCCTAGAAGGCCTTGCCTTTTTTTTTCCCTAATAAACTGATTTGGGGCAGCATTAGATTGGATGTCTAAGGAACCAGCATCTGCAAGGTGGCTGGGCTTGCCTGAGCCAGGAGACTGCAGATAATGTTCTGCTGACTAGAGCACTTTGTACAGAATTGCTACTAAATGATGCACTACAGGAGTTTCTATTTGGGTAGCACCAAGGTAAAAAAGCGCATCTTCCCTTGCACTGTGTTAGTGCCTTTGGCAAGAGTAGAACTGGAAATCCTGGGATAATCACTTCATTACAATGAAAAGTCTGGAGGAAGCACCTTAGAAAATAATGTGTTGATTAACAGTTTTATTTTTAAATCCTCCTGAGTTGTGGAGGACCAACCTCATGTGGACCTGATGCTCAACAAAGCAGCTGTTGCTGCTGGGGCCTGCTGTGGCAGAGGTCCTGGGATCAGGCAGAGGTTGCTGTGCTGTTAAGACAGTTCATTTTCTGACTCAGGTGGGAGATGATTTGTCTGCTTGAAGTTTCATGGTGCACTTTGCTGGCAGCTTGTTAGTGTTCCCAAAGGAAAGGGCCTATCTGATACATGGGTTTGGGGGACGCAGCTAGGACATTCCTTCCATTGTTGAATACTTTTCCCATATAGGAATGCATACATTCAGTATATTTTTGAAGTTTCTATGTTTTTAAGGATTGATATATTATCTACAGAATAATTTAAAAATCTGTTAAATTCAAAATACATACTTCAAAATTTAATATGATTATACTGAGGAGCTAAGGAAGATATTACAATTCAAATTCCTGGAATACATCATATCTTTGGAGGGTTTTAGAACTTTAATTGGCAGAGCACATAATGTCCATGTTTAAAATCTTGTGGTTTTATTGTAGGTTGTCTTTCTAATAGGCCTGCATGGGTTTTTTGTTAGATTATGTTGAAAAGAAAGCTTTGCAAAAATGCACACAAAAGGAAGACAGAAAGGTTTACCAAGTGTTTTGTCTCTTCTTGCAGGTTGTTGTTTCTTAATGGCAGAGTGGCCATTAAGAATGCCAACAGTATTATTTGCTAAAATTTAATCAGCACACCTGAATAACTCTAAATTAAAAGAATCCACACATAAAATTTTGTGGTGTACGTTAGTTTTACAATTTCATCATATTGGGTTTTTATTAAATTTGTAACCTGAAAGTCTGATTCAACTACTTAAGGAAGCACATTCTTAATTTTGTTATTAAAAAAAAAAAGAAAAAAAACCAGTTGATTTGTAAAATGATCATTAAGGTATCATGGTTCAGTAACTCTGCAGTGGTTACGATGTTCTCATGTGGGAGCCAGGGATGAGTTTTTCTTGATGGTGACAGATGCTGAAATCTAATTTTATTCCATAAAAATAGATAAACAAGCAAACAAAACCCCCATACCTAAGAGCCCTGAGAGATAAGGCAGGTAGAGACTTGTAGCGTTTCTGTATGTTTGCTATGTTTTGAGAAGTTAGATTTATGTTATGGCTTGTCCTGCAAAGCTGTGGCTTGCATATGCTAGTATGAAGCAGGGAAGAAAGCAATACTTTGCTGAAAATCAGGTTAAATTGCTAAAGTTTTCTTAAATTTAGGAAATTACAGTTTGCAAAAACTGCAGTAATATCAAGCTCCATACCTCTGAGAGTCCCGTGCACTACACTTTCAGGCCACTAGCCTGCTTTATTTACCTAAAGAAGTTTAATTTTTAGTGAAATAAATGAGTGAAATCAATACTCTTTTGCAGTCAATCCTGCAATCCTGACTCGTTATGGCCCCAGAGGTGCTGAATGCCCTCCCTTCTCACCAAATGAAAATACGTGTATGTGGAGGGTGAGACTCTTGGTTCTCACAGAATCCTGCTGAGATTTTTAAATAATTCTAATGGAGTACCACCATACCTTTAAAAACCTCATTTAATGATGTAGTTCTGACCTGTTACTTCTGAGCTGTTGTGTTGTGTTGCCCAGTTTCCTGTTCTTCCATCCCTGTCTTTCGCTTTGGTTAGTAGCAGTTTCACATACAAAGTGTGGAGGTAAAATCATGGTTTTCAGAACATGCTAGAGACTCCATCCTGAGCCATCAGGCAAGTATTTTATACAATGGCTATTTAATTAGAAGAGGTTGACTTTTTGCCTTTGTATGCACCGGGAGTGTTCTCTTCCAGGAGGCTGCATAGGAGATCCTATGGGTAGGCACTAGGCAGAGCATCTAGCACTCATGAGTAGATGGGAAGGAGTTAAATGGGAAGGGAATGCTAAACATTGGCACTAAAAATGCTTTTGGCATGCAAATACCATGCTTTTCCTGACATAAATATTTTCAGAATAGGCCATTAGAGTTCAGGTATATAAAACCCTGCTTTTACTGGAAATTTTAATGTTGTAGTAAACCTAGAGATTTATAGTGAAAAATTGATGTCTGTTATCTCACTTTTATCTTTTTAACCAGCAGTTTTATAAATGC